CCCCCGCGCGGGGAGCCAGGTCCGCAGCGGGGTTCAGCCCCCAGCCAACCCACGGGGAGAGTCCATCCCGCTGCGGTCCCCGGGGCTCGGAGCGAAGACTTGGCCAAGCAGACAGGCCGCCTCGCCCTGCTGCGGTCTCGCTTCACAAGCCTGGACTCGGTCCACGCTCGGAAAATCGGTTTCACGCTCAGGAGTCCTGCCGAGACACGTTTTTTAATCATGAAAAGATGTTGAAGTGCTGCTCTGCCGCTTGGGAAAGGGCGCATCCTTCAAGGCAGATTTATTACCCACAAAAGAGCCAATATTTCAAAGGACAGAACGATGTCTAAAGTAATATGTCCTTGATAGTTCTCCGTGTGATGTACTGACCTGATTTTAAAACAGTCCTTGCCCTTTACTTGGACTGTGTATTCATTATGGTCTGTGGTTTTAGTTAGGTTGCTCTGCCAACTGACCTTAGAGATGGACAAAGAAGCTGGTGTTGAGATCCGGATTAGGTTTATCCTAGGGATGGCACAAGCATCATGTGATTCTTCTGCTGTACAGTCTTTTGTAGGGTTCTCCTTTAGCCAACGCCTGGCTGGCAAATTGTACCTTGAAAGCTACGCTTTCATTTTAAAATAGCTACGATTCCAGTCCTCGTGGCTGAAAAGACAACCTGGAAAATAGAAGCTAAGGGTATGTCTACACTACAGCGTTCTTTTGAAATCTCTTATTTTGAACTGGTTATTTCATTTTGCTAGAATGCATTTTGCTATTTCGAAATAGTGTGTCCACACTGAGGGTACGTCTAGACTACAAGCCTCTTTCGAAAGACCGCACCAGCTGTGTTGTGTAGAGTGCGGCTGAGGTGTGGGGGGGAGATGTCCCCTGCGTCTGTGTAGAATGGCCTTGTGGAGGGAGGGCGTCTTGCTGTGTCCCACCCCGAGGCCAGGAGCATGTCATGTCTCTTGACACATGCGTGTGGCTAACTGGCCCAGGCCCCTGTGTAGCAGCCAGCGAGGGCCACATGCCCAGGGGTGGCACGGCACATGCACGCACGTGCACAGGTTGCTGCGTGATCCGTGGCAAGCAAGGCCCATGCACGCAGTCCCTGGTCTCCCTCCCCGCCCCCCAATAAGGGGACAGGGATGGCACTCACATGTTGTTGCCTCCCCAGATGACACTGGTGATAGGTCTGCTGGGACGGCTTGGGGATACTGGATGTGTGGCATGCTCCCTCTGGGGTCCTGCGGCTCCTGGTGCTCCTCCTCCATGCCCTGGTCAGGGCCCTCTGCTCCAGGATCTATGACCCCTGGGGTGGCACGGACCATCCCGCCCCCCAGGATGCGGTCCAGGGCATCAAAATAGGGGCAGGTGTCTGCCCTGTGTGGGAGCTGCACCCTGTGGCCCTGGCATACGCCTGCTGCAGCTCCTTAATTTTCATGCGCACCTGTTCCTAGGTGCACATGTGGCCTTTGGTGGCCAGGCTGTCAGCCATCTG